AACCTACCTTTGTATAAAATTTCTTCTCGTTTTTACGCGATCCCGTACACGATGGTGTGATTTCGATACGGCCGTGTGAGCGCCCGTTGCAATCACTCTGATATAAAGATATTGATTGCGATATACTTAACCGTAATATTTACAAAGATTTTTTGTGAGAAGATAATTACATAAAGCAAGCATGAAACTAAATTATGCATTTAAGGTGATTATTTTTCTGACATTAAGTAAGCTATAAGCACAAATTATGTTGCTAAAAAGTAAGCAACATTTCAGCACTAACTATAAATCACAAATCGCGACCATTAATCAAAAGTTCAGGAATATTGAACGATTTCTTAATTAAGTAATTTGAGAGGTGTCCAGTGTTGCCGCCTACTTAATATCAGTTTTGACTGATTAACTTTTAATTTTTATCTCAAAAAAAAAAGTAAAAATAAATCGTATTCTAATAAATTTTGGAAACACGATACGAAGTTAAAGGAGTAGGTAAACAATAATATAATTAAAAAGCAATTTTATATTCTACTTTGTTATTGTTTTCCTAACAAATATTTTACCACAAAAGTTTCAAAGTGATAGGTAAAAATCATCTAAAAAAAATAACAGTTTTAATCTGTTGAGTCCATTCGTTTGTTTTATTTCTTTTGTGTGGGTTTCGGAAAGGCCGTACCAAGGTCAGTTTGGCAGTTCTTGAAATTATGGTTTTGTTTTTAATAAATTACACCGTCATGAGTGGTTTGTGGTAGATTCTTGTGAATTTTTTATATCCTTTTTGTTAAATTTAACACTTAGAGAATAACTAAGCATAAATTTACAGTATTTTAAATACATTTTTCCTTTGGATTAATATTAGAAACATCACACAATTACTTTATAGAACAGTCTTTAGAAAAAAAAAAACATTTATTAACACTATACAGATATAGAATTTAAATAGAAGACACTTTCAAAATGTGTACAGTCGAAATAAAGGCCAATTCTAACGAGGATATAATGAGACAATTAGTTGAGAACAAAATAAAATTATTACGAAACTGTCATTGAATCAAGATCACGGATACTGCGAGTATGTTATTAGTTAGAATTGAGATGAGGACTTGAAGACAGATATACTTATTAGGTCCCAAAAAGAAGTTCTGTGCATATAATTAGAATAGAATATACTGCTGACTTGAACACGGATATGAAGTCATTAATGTATGCACAGAAACTAAAATTAATTGAGCAGATGTTAAGTAAACAACTGTTGTATAATTTACAGATGAGTGATTCAAAGTATCTAGAAGATAGTATCGGTGACTGAACATTTTATTAAGTATTTCCGAAAACAACTGTTTTTCATTTAGTTTGGGAATGTAGTGTCTTTCTATGATTGAAGCTGACAACTTAGTTTATAGATGCAAGTATAAAGTAAGCTGATAAAAACGCTTTATGACTTTCGCATAGACTCCTTTCTACGATAATTAAATAAGCTAAGATTTAACCAATAAATTTTACTTGATTTATTCAAAAATATATTTTCTCACGGCCGACAACGCGGTCGCAAATCTAGTCCCAGCGGTAACTTGAAAGAGTAGTTCTGAAATAAAACGTCCGATCTTTATTCAACAGGCATATTTGTAGGTGACTGGCTGCGATCCAAAAAGGAGATCGCATCGAACAATAAGTCACGGTAGAACTTCTGCAATAAATATCCTCTAAAATAAAAAAGCTTACGGTAGTTGTGGGCGATAGCATTTTAACTTGAATAAGCTTATTTTACAGAAATGTTTAGTCTCAAAGAACAACGCTATCTTTTGAGAATTTCATATCATATATATGAAATTGGTTTTAACATTTACATGAATTTATTCAGCGAAAATTTACATTCACATGGTCCAATAATCTTCAACAATTTTAAGTAAATTTTATTATACATTATAATTGTGATGTTATAAATCAACCGATTAAAACTCTCGCTAATTACACTTTACCTTTTAAAAAACATATCATGACATCATTAGCAACCCTTTGACTTTTAAATTAGTTTTTAATCTCGCTCCTCTCTAAGGCGAGCTGGTTTTTGGACCTCGTATTCTATATGCATTTTACCATACCTACTTGTACTTTGCAATATTCTTATCTTCATAATGTAAAATAAAAATAAGTATTCCATATCAGATATAAAAAGACGTCTGACGCCATTGTGTCTACAAGTATTTTATACATTACAATATTTGATTTCCGCAAGTAATGGACGGATCGTAGGACATTATGGAATGTGAGATGTATTCTATGTGCAATAAAGTTTATTATTCTTTAGATAGTTTTTTATGTATTTTCGTTAAGTATTTGGATAAAGAATGTGGAGCAAATATGATATGAGAGCTATGATTGATCTGTCGAGTCTTTAATCGTTATCAGTATAGAAGTAAAGAGTTTTAATACAAATATCTGGGCCAATAAAATGTATCAATATTTCTCTTTACGCAATACTATCAAACAAAGACGACATGATTTTGTAATTTTTTGTAAGAGAAAAAAAAAATTTTGCGATAAAAGCCAAGACGTTAATTGAAAAGAGAATAAACTTGGAATAAATAATTCAATCCTCTATTTTTTAGTCTATTTGTATCTGAACGCAACGGTCGATAAATGTTTTTTATACGTTTGTGAATGACTTAAAAAAAAACATCGTTTAACTAGTTTATAGATTTTAACATATTTTAAGTCTTCCCCATTATTATTATTTCACAATTTTATTTACCTTGTATTGTATGTTATGTAACATGTTCGCCTGGAACTAGCAAATTTATTTTGAATCGTATATCTCCAATCGATTGAGTTGAATTTAAAGCATATTTAACTTGGATGACAATGCCAAAATGGCGGACTAGATACTCTATTTAAAAACAGTCTTACAATATGAGTATCAACAAAATCGCTTATAATAAAAGGTTCAACTTTTTTTATTGTATACCCTTTTATTAAAGCAATATGGAAAATTCATAAACATTATTTGAGTTGTGTTAATTTAAAACTACAATTAATATATATAATATAACTAATAAACATAGCACAACACAAGTGAAACTTAATTTCCCAACTTTTAAACGGGAAGTGTCTCAAATGATGCACAAAACATAAATTCGTCGAAAATCCATTGTATCGGATGTTAGGTAGGACGTTAGTTTTGGTCGGTTTGATACAAAAACGCCGAAACTCGATATCAAGTTTCCCGGGCGCTAATTGGCCGACGCTGCACCGATAGGGTTACAGAACTGGGGCGACAATAAACCAACCGTTAAATACAATCTATTAACAGAACTTAGTTTCGGGAAAATCTTGTTATATGACACGGATTGAGTTTCTATAAGACTTCTATTGTATTAACTCAGCACCTGGAAATTATGCTGATGAAAGTCGAGAGCAAATATTTTCTATAACATAAAAATCTTGCACATATTTAACATCAATAAATATTAGAGTACAAACGAATTTTTCTATATTATTTTCAAATACATATATACTGTCATTTCTATAATTCATAGTCACCCTACAAAGTGACAGATCGCAAGCGGTTTAATTTATACCTTTTTATTATGTACCAAGTTTATAGCTCAATTAAAACGATCATTTTATATTTGGAGCATCCGGTAAAAGGATATACATTATATATTATATACATATAATATCATAGATAATTCATACTGTTAACTAAAAACATAAGCTTAACACGAAAACTCTAAATGATTCAAGAGAAATTTTACTTTCCTTAAAGTAAAAACCTACATACATAAAAAAGTATAAACGATTATCCGACAGTGATAATATTTCTTGAATGCACTTGAGAAGGACTCTGAATACTTTAAAGAATATTTTCGCCGAAAATTCTAATTGTTTGTATGTATCATACCGAGCAGTGGGCCCTGGAAATATTTGAAGTGAAGAAGCTCGCTGTGTCTGCCAGAAAATTAAGACGACAGATTAAAGAGGCATTTGCTGACGAATTTCTTAAAAGCTTTTTATATAATTTTTTATCTGAAATTAGTAAGAAAGGTTTTGTAATACGATAAATTGAGCGTGATCGCTATATTATGAAGTTCTAGAGACTGGAAACGTTTTATTTGAGTTCAAGTTTAATTTAGAAGTTTAGCCTAAGTAAACTAATTAGTATTACAGGCGGTCCTCGACTTACGTCGTTTCGATTTACGTCGTTTCAAGTTACGTCGAACAATGTTTTGACACTATTCCTCAAGCATACGTCATTTGTTTCGATTTCCGGCATATCGGAGAATTGTCGCTGATTTTGTTTAGTACATTCAGGGACAACGGACAATCAAGACGTAATAAATTAGTTTTTTTGCATCTTTGACAGTTTTTGTGTTTACATACATATTTAAGTGAATTTTAAACAATGCCACCTAAACAAGACAGTAATAATAAAGTGAAGAAGAGAGTAAGAAAGTCAATTACAATGGAGGTTAAATCTAAGATTTTAAAACTCAAAGATCGCGGTTATTCGACTTCATCTATTGGACGAGAACTTAATTTATCACGCACGACGGTACAAACAATATTGAAAGATAAAGAAAAACTCTTAACAGCTCTTCCTTCCGTCTCTTCAAACAGCACTATTATACGCAAAAGGAATGCTTTAATTTATGAAATGGAAAAACTGTTGTACAATTGGATTCAAGATCAAACTCAGCGACGGGTTCCTCTAAGTTTGGCCATTATACAAAATAAGGCGCTGAGTATCATCAACACACTGCAAAATAAACGTGGCGAGAATAATAGTGACGAAACAAAATGTTTTTCTGCCAGTCGCGGATGGTTCATGCGCTTTAAAACGAGATATTCGTTACATAACATTCGAGTGCAAGGAGAAGCTGCTAGTGCCGATCATGTGGCTGCTCAGAGTTTTCCTGGAATATTAAAGGAAATTATCGAAAGTGGAGACTATTCGCCTAAACAAATTTTTAACGTGGACGAAACTGGTTTGTTTTGGAAAAAAAATGCCCTCTCGTACTTTTATATCACAGGAAGAAAATTCTATGCCTGGATTTAAAGCGGCTAAAGATCGTTTGACGTTGTTATTGGGTTCGAATGTTGAAGGTGATCTTAAATTGAAACCCCTTTTAGTTTATAGGTCTGAAAATCCTCGAGCTCTCAAAAATTACGTCCAGAGTACTCTTCCAGTTATATGGAAGGCTAATCCAAAGGCATGGGTTACATCAATACTTTTTGAAGAATGGTTTACTAAGCATTTTATACCTGAAGTGAAACAGTACTGTTCAAACAATAATTTGGCTTATAAAGCTTTACTTATTTTGGACAATGCTCCCGGTCATCCTGTGCGTATTGCCGATATTGATCCTCAAATCAAAGTCGTGTTCCTGCCTCCCAACACCACTTCGTTGTTACAGCCGATGGATCAAGGAGTTATCGCGTCTTTTAAGGCCTATTATCTCAGGAGAACTTTTTCACAGGCTGTAAAGGCTAATGAAAATGATGGCATGGAGCTGAGAGATTTTTGGAAAAGTTATAATATCCTGCAATGCGTAAAAAATATTGCTACTTCATGGGATGAGGTGACACCCAACAATTTAAAAGGAGGGTGGAAAAAGTTATGCCCATTTTTTTTTGAGCCATCTGAAAGTTCTACATCTACAGATCAACCAAATGTCGATGAGATCACAACTGACATTGTTCATTTGGCTAACCGTTTGCCTGACATTGTAGTTACTACTGATGATATTGATGATCTGTTAAGCTCACATTCGCAAGAACTGACTGATGAAGATCTTATTGAATTGGAGGCACAAGTACAAAAGGAAGAACTCGAGTCACAAGAAATAGCTTCTTCTATTAGTGACTCTGAAAAAGAACTTACACTAAAAAAACTTTCCGTAGCCTTTGCAAATTTGAAGAATGCCATGAAAATTTTTGAAGAAAATGATCCTAATTTTGAGAGAAGTTTTAACGTTAATAACAAAATTTGTGCAGCCTATCACTGTTACCAAGATCTGTATGATAGCAAGAAGAAAGAAGCCAAGCAATATAGAATTGATAGTTTCTTTAAGCCAAAAGTTTAATTTATTATTTATCATTACATATGTATATGTTTTATAATTATTATTAAAATTAATAACACACAAATACCAAAAATAACTAGCAATTTCATAAGTGCATAATATATAATTATTTTAAGAACTTACTTTTAATAATAAAGTACGTCCTTTGTTATAAATGCAGTTTTTTTTATTATTTCGAGTCCGTGTGGAACCTAACCCTTGAGTTTTACATGTAAACATATGAAAAAATATGTCTCGACTTACGTCGTTTCGATTTACGTCGCGTATTTCAAGAACCTAACATGCCGTAAGTACGAGGACTGCCTGTAATAGTATTAATATTCCGGCCGACCGTTTGCAATACATTTTCAGGGCAAAATCTTTGAACAATCGCTTGTATCCAAAGATTTGAAACTAAAAACGTCTTTTTAAATTGAAAGTACTCACTAACACGACTATATTACGTCAATATTCTTATTAATTATTTTTCCTTACGTAACATTTAGTTAGTTTCAAATATAAACACTTTTTCTAAAAAAGAAAATTATATAATAAAATGAAACATATCAAGAAGTGTCTTAATTAGAGAGAATGATAAATAAATAAAAGGTTAACATTAGTCTAGGAACAACAATTTATGTCATCTAATCCAGAATCTGTAGAAACATTAAAATATTTCAAAGAACACGCTCGTCTGTGACGAGACCCAATTATAATAACGGAAATAATTTTTACGACGAATAATGAAAGCTTCCTGAACAAATGGAAATAATTTTCTAGGAAGCGCTATATTTGGAGGTGTGAATGACGATGATTGTGTGTCCCATGATGAGATGAAGATTTGGACTTGTCTTTGGAGATTTACTAAAAACTTTCAGACACTTAATTAATTTGTAAAAACAGAGAATTAATTTGTAAAAACATTAGCAGTGATAAGGGTTAGCGTTGGAAACCTGTTTTATCTTTGCATTTAGTTTAATTCCCAACCTACCGATGTCGCCAAAATATCTCATTAGAGTTTTCGTTGTACAATTAAACCAGCATACAAGGTGCTGGCTGTAAACATTATATTTAAATGTTAATTATGTTTTTAATTCAACTTAAAGTCTCAAGTATATTGCGATGCTAATGTTACATAAACTAAAAAGGTTTTAATTAGATTTTTTTTAACACGTAGCTAATGATATAAATTATAAGATTTCGACCTCGGAAGAGGTTTAATTTAAAGCAATGAAAAATATTTTTATGTTATTACGAGAAAAAAAACGTCTTACAATCAACACTTAACTCATTTGATTAATATCAACGAGTAACTATAACTGATTAAAATAACTCAGTTTGTGGTAAAATTAAACATAAGGAAGATGAGAATGAAACTATTTTTATCATTAAAATAATGTTACATAGCTGACGAGGTTTTAAGAAGCATGAACGTAAAAAATAAATACGTTGTTCGACTTGCCTGCGTTGTCATTAATTCAGGACTGATTTTATGACAACTTAACAAATGAAATTACAATTATATTATTAAATTCTTAAAAAAAATATCTTCAGTTAATCGATAGTTTTAAGATGCGAAATGTGAGGTTAATATTAATTAAAATCTGGAATAAAAAAGCTAGTCGTTTCGAAAAATAAATGCATATTAAAATTTGATATCGTGAGAATGGAAGTGGAAGTCGTGAATATCTTAGAAATTACTATTCATGTTAAATTTCAATCTTGTTTTATTTACTACTGTTTTGCAACCGAAAATAGACAGGAATGAATTTGTATTCTACAGAGGCTGTCTTTGTTTTTTATATTATACTAGTTTTTGCCCGCGACTTCGTCCGCGTTAGTTTGGTCAAGAGTAATATATGTAGGTGTAGCTGACCAGTCGAACTCTATTTCGTCTTACAGGCCATAAATAATCAGGTTTTTCCTGTTTCAATCAAACAAAGAATTGACATATTTGTTAGTTGTCAAATCTAATGTCAAAAAAAACTTTTGTATGGGAAATAGAAAAGGGCTGTTTTATGGTTTTCCCAGTAATGAATCAATTTTTCTCACCTTTTAAACCTTCCCTGGACTTCCAGGAGTATTTCAAGACTAAAATTAGCCAAATCCGTTCAGCTGTTCTCGAGTTTTAGCGAGACTAAGGAACAGCAATCCATTTTTATATATATAGAAGATAGAAGATTATCTTAGTATACATTAAAGGACGAGTGACACAATGTTTTGTTGATATTAGCTACATGTGGTACGAAGGTCGACTCACATCTGCTCACATTAGCACTGATTATTCACACGGTTAGGCTTGTGTACATACGATGTAGCTAGCGGAAACGGATATTTTGACAGATTAAGAAATTAAATAAGTCGTTGAGAGACTTTTTGATCATTATTTGTAAGCTGTCTAGTTTTTTGTTATGTAAGTAGAAACATTTTACGACTTGTGTGTACGTTCTATGTAACAGGTCAATTAACAAAGAAGTTTCGAATGTGTACCATATTTACAATTCATTGGGCAACTCTAACGGGGTAAGTGAAGCTTTACGGCTGTTCTCACTTACTAGTATTAATGTTCTATGAACGTGACCGACGGACAACCAATGCTATATATAGTCAGCTGTAATGACTTGTGTTTCCTTAGCTTAGAGCTCGTGACACACGGCCGATAAGGATGTTGAGCATTCATAAAATATATCAATACTATTGCGAATGTCTGTTACACTTTATAGTGTCGTAACTGAATCAGTCGTCAAAAGTTTTGAATATATTTAGTTAATGGTACTAATATGAAAATGAATTAGATATAAAAGAACAAAACTGTTATAGATTAAAAACCAATTAACGCATTTCTCTTGGACAAGTTTGGATTAGTACATATAATTATTGCTCTAATATGTATTGTAAACAAAATTTTTAACATTTCTTATTTTGGATCCAAATCATCACGTTTTATAACCAAAGCAGAATTAAATATAGTACAAAATAAACATTACATTGACACAATATGTCATATATATTCAACTTTCTACAATCCCGTGTGTCTTTGGAATAATGAGTTCAATTTCCTCAGCTTAGTCGAAACGTAATACAAATGAGATGAAACCGGAGCTGTTATTAAACTACTGTTTATATACAAACAAATTGTTCAGTTTTACTAAATCAAATATCCGCTTGCCACAGTTTAAAATATATCTATATAAATTGTGAATGTTGTTTGCAGTTGTAAAAATCTTCGCATAAAGAATGCATGTCGATGGTTACATTTACCTAAAGTGTTGTGCGTGGAATAGTCAACTGTGGTCTATTATGTTAATTTGGATCGATTATACCTTTAGGAGTCCGTGATTTTAATATCAAGGTTCTTATTGAGGTGGCGCAGGTCCAAAGAAAAAAACCCTTAATAGGCCATGTTAAGGTTTAGTATGCTTTGATAAACTGATTAGTAATAAAGTATATAAGATCGTGGTTACCTTAGTTTTAAGAACATCAGAGTTTTTGAGAGGCAGACGCAGGATTTAATGAATTCTTTTTATATTTCGAATATATAAGAAAGCAGAGCTTTTTCATTTAAGAATCAAATGGTAACTTACAACCTATTTTTGTCAAAAGACGGTAACAATATGCTACGTCGTCTAGTTACCTTAAAACTAAATTCAACCACTTATGGATGAAGTTATGTTATCGTCCTCTGGAAATAAGTAAGCATTATATTACTAACGAATACCGGTTTTGCTTCCAAATACATTTCCACCAGCAGTCTTAAATTCTAGCCTAGGTTCCAAAGATGTGTGTATGACATTACCTGAAAACAAAAAATATTTAAATTAATGCTGAACACGGAAAAGATTCAATTCACATATAAATAAATAATTTTTATGTAATAGATATGTATGTATGTATATAATAAAACTTTCATTGTTTTTCTATATATTCAATGTTTTAAAAGACTAAACTAGAGAATAAGAAAGTAATACACGTTATTCTAGTGAAATGCATCCTTCCAAGTAACCCCAAGTCCGCACTTCATTCGCACCAGTCGTTCTTAATGGCTTACGGGGCCCTATCGCAATTATATACGATTTATGTTTGATAATAACTCTTTATAAATATTCTATAATACAATAAACAACGTGCCGTAAAACTTCTAATATAAGAGAAACAACGATATCTCTAAGACACTAACACAATTAGTTATTACGAGTCAATTTGATATCTTTCATTGTATATGAAAGTTTTCAATCATAAAATAATATATATAGACTATCAAAATGTTTGTCATTTAATCCGTATAGAAGATTCCAATTGATTACTATGAATCAATAATTCATATATAGAAACACTACTAGTGACTTTCACGTACGGCTTACAATAATTTCATCCTACGTATTTCTGAATCGTGGGATTATAATGACATTTTATTATCAGTACTATTCACATAATAGTCGCAATTATTTATAAATATTTTACATAAGAAATAGATTCTGTGTAAACAATAATATTAAAGTAGAACTTGGCTATGAAACTCGATTATAGTTCTCGTTTACACCAAACTAAAGAATATTGGCTAGTTTCATTAAACCTAGTTCCCAGGCTTATTGTGATAATACCGTTTAACAGATTACGTGTTTTGATTAAACAAACGGACATCTGCCTGGCGTACGTTACAAAGAAGAAGTACTTACTAACGAAATAAAAACGAAAATGGACAGATATTATAATAATATATTACTGAGATTGAAACTTACGATGTTTGTTTTATGATAATAAACCTTAGTGAATTAACGACACATAAAACATGCAATATCGTAATAATTGGAAGTCTGGATTGAAATTTCAATTCGACCAAATCCTTCGTTTATGAAACAGGATGAGTAAAAGCAAAACAAAGATTCTATCCAACTATCTCGTATGGAATGATCTGGTACAAGTGATCTGACTGTGAGAAAAAAGACAGAAAAGTCTACAAGTAATATAGGAATACGGAAGCGACTGAATGGAGACGAAAAACACTAGCTGTTAATGTAAATGTTCTGACACGGATATAATTGAGAAATTGTTTATAAATTTAATAAATATAAATGTCTAGCAAAATAAAACCATCTGTTTTTAAATGCTTCCAAATTTTTCAAATCCGCTCCGTTCCTTTAAGCGTTGCCAGACTCGAAAATAGATAAGGCACCATTAATGACCGTGATAGATAAGGGTTGGCCGGTAAAAAATATTCCCTTATATAAGGGTCGGAATTAGTCTGAACAGCGGGGAACGGTACCCCGCTGCGGTATTAGACTAGCTGGCCGTGGATTTGCAATGATAATGCATATTGCCATCCTTGCATTTTACTTTTTGCTGTTCTCTGGGAAATATCCACATTGTAGGTTTGTTTATGATGTCCATATTTCATATTCTCCCGCTTATATGAAAACAGGACTATAATGAAGGAAGCGTATTTTGTTATTATAGTTATTTAGCTGAAAGCAAATTTGTTATTCATGATTGGGATTGATTGTAAGCTTTGTTATGTGACATCAGGATTCATTTTAGAAGCGTTAATTTGATAGGGAATGTGATTAAAATAATGTGGCGATTCAGACGCGCCCTGCCGGGGCACTCCCCACGTCCCTTCGCGGTAATTACACATCTTTTTGAAAGCTTCCTCGTAAATAACCTTTGCTCGTGCACTGTTTTGTTTGTGTCATTTTTTTAGATCCCTTTACCTATCCGTTTAAAAGTTGTGGTGTTTTTTTTATAATAATTTATGCGATAAAAATACACATTCTGGCAAAATTATTGTGTGAGTTAAATATAAAACACCTTTTTAAGGGTCATTACAAATCTAAGTTTTTTTTTTATATTTTAGCTTAGGCTTTAATGTCACTAATTGATATGCTTTCGTTAG